CGTTTGAAGGAGATGAACATTTAAATAAATTGCTCTTTCTCGTCTTCTCTTTTCAATTCTTTCATTTATCTTCCAGCTAGTTCTGAAAAGGAACTCGCGAATTATTCTTGCGGAGCGATTCAACGTCGATAAAGAGTAGGTTCATTGAAAATGAGGCCACGTGAAGAGCGAACACATTTCTGTGTATACCGCTTGAGAAATGTATCTATTACTTAACAAATAGCAGAACAAAATGTACGTATGCAGAAGATATAACATGTGCTATTTTGTATACTAACACAAAACAAGCGCGCGCTAAGTGTACGCTAATATTGTTTTTATTTTAACGTGTTGTGTCAATGAAAACAACCTGTCACTACGATGACAGCTACTATATACGTCTTATAAACACATATAAAAGATGTCAGAAATAACTCATGAAAATCAAAATCATAAAATAGTGCGAGGGAGGAGTGGAAAAACCACACATGTGATTTTACTTTAGTCACGTGTTTTAAAAACGTGACTAAAGTAAGGTCACGTGACAGAAAAAAGTAAAAAAAAGAATATTATATATATTATATATAATATTTTATATCTATATATAATATATATATATATATATATATATATATATATATATATATATACCGTAATCACGTGACTGAGGTCAGTTACCAAGGTAAACTCACACGTTCGTTCGCAAGAAATAATTTTGGCGAAATGTATTATGAAAACCGCAGAATTGGAGAAAACAATCGCAAGTTGCGAGAGAAACGAATGCATGAAGAGGAGAGACGGGTAGAAAGAGAGGAAAAAACAGGGAGATGAAATATCTTGAGGAAATTAAAATGCTAAGTTGTGAAGACACAGGCTTCCGCTTCCTTATTTATTCCATTACAGGGTGAGTCCCGGGTATTCTACCAAGCAGGTAAGAGGTGGCGCATGCTTTAGCGCGCCGTTGCGCTCACGTTGCGCAAATTCGCGGAGAACTTGACACTCGCGTCTCAGGTTAACGAGAACGAATGAAAACATTACATTGTAAGATTAGACACAGATTTTGTATAATGAAGTTGCATTCTATTAAATGCACAAAAAAGATTTAACGATAAAGAAAAACTGAAGAAGAAAAAAGTTGTAAGCATTTACATATGCATGTAAACATAGTGTACAGCTGTAGTGTAAACCTGTGTTTTAAGCAATAAATGGGAATAAATCTTGGAGAGTTGATTTTATATTCAATATAATCATTCGAATTTAATTGACGTGTAACGGGACGAACGATCAAGAGAAAATTTCAGCAAACTGTCGGAATTACCGCCTGTAACATACGATTAACCCATCAATTATTTGATTACACGCTATCAGAGTTATCGCACATATTCTAAAGCATTTGATTCTAATTTACAACGCGTCCTGTACACGCCGTTATTTAATTCGCGTAAAATTCGCCGGTATTGACGCGTATTATATAAATCGATGGCGTTTATTCTCTGTGTATGAAATGTATCAAGTAATTTCTCTCGTGACATAAAAATAGCCCATTGAATTTGTCAGAAAGAGTCCCGTGACAAACTACATTAATGAGATTTGCTTTGACATATTGAAACACAAGAATCGATCGCAGCGATATTCGCTTTTATTTTCTTGTGTGTGTGTGTAATCAAGTTTTCTTTGTGAGACGATTAAACCACTAAAGCAAAAGTTAGAAAACAAAAATTAGGTTACATATATTAAATTGGTGCAAAAACAATTTTGGTTTTTAAATCAATTTATTAAGTAATTATTTAATAAATAACAAAAACTTCAATTATTTTCGTAGCAATCTAATAGTGTATTTGATAAAAATGGTGATACAAAATTTTTTTTACAATTAAACACAATAATAGAATTGACACGACGGTTTTATTTGATCCGTAAAATCATATAATCAATACAGATTTTAATTACTCGTTAATTAAATTATTGTAGACAGAATATATTTATTCAGCGTTCAAGATTTCAATTGCTGTTTCGATAATTAATCGGCAACGACGAATGTATATAAGCCTCGTAGGAACAGCGGCCATTGTCTAGGACTTCCTACTTTCGCGAAACGCGCCCGATTGCCGCGTCTCTGTCAATTATTGGAAACTTCCTCGCACCGCTAAAAGCAAACGATTATATTGCGGTGAAAATTATTGCCTTCGTTATTCGCGGACGTCCTCTGCGACAATTTTCGAATTGCGAAGCGCTCATTGTCGAAGTCACTTTTTAATTTATTCGACTTCTCGGAAAGTCTGCTCATCAGCGTTTCTCATTGATTTCCAAAGTTAGAAAGGTGTCTTTATTATTCGGTGGGCGCTGAAGTGAGTGTTAACAGCGAACATCTTTCCTGTTGCTTGATTTCTCTTGTAACACTGAACTTCAACTTTCAAAGATTATTTTGACGCAATCCGTCCGGATAAAACTTAGGCAAACTTATTTAAGTAGTTTGACGTAGCATTTTTTAAAATTTTTCTCAATGGTAAGATTATTTAAAATATAATGACATTAACGCGGTTCAAACCAGAAAACTATTTTCATGAATTCTTAAAACATCACAAAAGCATCAAATATCAAAATGAGATTCTTTTTACTAAATGTAAAGTTATCATTTGTAAATTGTTTTTATAATGTGTGTAGAAAACTTTTTCTCTAAATAAATATATTCGTACATAAAATATATTTTAGACAATATTTGATAAGAACTAATTTGTTACGCAAAATATAAAAAATAATGTCGAGACAAATTTAAATACGCTGAATAGATTTTTTCACAGACTAGAAGATTATCTTCTATCTTAGTGCATATATATCTATAGCAATAACGTTGCAATTTGTCACGTGCCAGTTTACTGTATGACGTATCGCTAACCGCGAGCAAGCTACAAATTGCAAAGTCACCACAACAATTAACTCGACGAAGCGCTTAACGACTGAAATAGTATTTCATTTTACAGGCCTGTTAGCGAGAACATTTCGGAACAATCGTTTGATTTACCGTAAATCGATGTTAGCATCTTCTGATATTCCTGACCAAGATTTTACGACGGAAACACATTACGATATCAAGTTTCCATACGTGCATTGATTTCTGTTTCGATGTTCGATCTAAGAATAGAGAGAGGAGATATCTCGTAACAAGTTTCGTAACACGCGAACATGTAACATCCGAGACATCTTACAATTCGATGTGTGAGAATGAGAGAAACAGGCAATCGATGAGCTAGGAAGCGATCGAACAGGCAAGTTTTTATTTATACTCGTTAATTCCGCGGAGAGGATTTCTAATTTGTAGCTTAGTGCGGAGAGTAGGTCACGATACATCGCGTTGTAGCACAGACTTGATGAATGGTCTATACCTGTTAATTCGCTGGTATTAGAGTACACTCTAGAAAAAGAATAATAACGAAGGAGAAGCCGTAATCAGAGTCGAGATACGTGTAATTGCTTTGCGTAAATATTATTTCAAGTTCGCATCAAGCCTACGTCTACCTAATTTGTGTATAATCTCGCAAATTCAAAAATTTTAATTTTGATGAAACTTTGCACACACATATATATATATATATATATATATATATAGAGAGAGAGAGAGAGAGAGAGAGAAGCTAAATAAAGTGGTTTAAATCGTATTTGGGTCACAACTGAAAATTTCTAATTTCATCTATTTACTTTTCCCCTTCCTCACATATAAAAAACCATTTAATCAAAATCGGAAGTTTTCGGTTTGCGAGATTTTCTTGTTAAAATATATTTAAGAAATATAGTTTATATTACATACGTAAATATTTTTTGCTCAGGTATCATTAAATAATATTTTAAAAAAAACCTATTATTATGCTTCAAGTAGTTTCGTTAAAGCAAATGTAATATCGAGTTTTGCAATAGTGCGATGGTTACCGCAGGCGGTATACAATTTATACAACATTTTATAACGATGTCTAGAAATAGCATCAGCCGAAAAAGTCGATAATGTTATTTGAGAAGACTATAATAAGGTCTAAGAAAAAATAACCATGCGGTCGTTCTGGGTCAGCGAAATCGGCGAGCGCATCGTCGTTTATGTATCTCGATGGCACCGATATTTTACGACGTCTGAAGGCGATGTGTTCGTTGTTACCATCGTGTACAGTCTTACAGTGAAGGTACAAAATCCATCGCGATAGACTTCTTCGTCAGGAATGTGGTGTATCTTAAAGGAATCTACTCTCGCTTGCATTACGATATTACGCAAGTGAAATCACTGATAAAGGTCGCTTGTGATTATATATTTGTTAACCCAGCTCGAATGATAAATGACTTATCAGCGGTCTCGAGAAGTAGTTGTAAAAAAGTGTCTGTGAGCTTCGCGATGATCACGTAACACGCGCAATTCGAAGTTGTAACGTTTTTGTTACCGCGGCTTAATGTACTTTAAATACAATATAATAAGTGAAACACATCCTGAAAATGTCAACAACAAGTAAAAAGTCAATATACAAAATGTTAGTGTATAAAAATGTAGTTTTATTGAAACAAACATTAGTTTATTGTGATTCTTATCTTTATGGCGTTAACAAAAAAGATAATTTATTTTTTTTTATTTATACGTGCGTCTTGATTGAAAAAAAAAAGACGTCTATACGTAAAATATTGTCAATCTATTCATACGCTAACCCTCAATTCCATCCGGGCTTGAACGCAACATTACTCTCGAAGGAAGAGACAACTTCTTCGATCGTTACCGTGACATATACGCGGCGGTTCGGGCCAAGCCCTCGCGAAATCATTCACGAGGCAGACCTCTCACTCTCTCCCCACATGCTCGAAGTAAAATGTGGCGGGGAGACAGGAGAAAATCATGAAAAGTACGAGCGCAAGCGAGTGAGAGTGAGAGTGAGCACACCCGATGTGTACACAAACGAGCGAAACAAATGCCTCTCTCTCTAATTTCAACCTGTGTGAGAGACTTGGCGAATGTCCTGGTAACGAGAGAAGTCGTCAGTGTCTCGGTGGACCTCCATCTGGTACAGCGGGCTGAGACTCCTCGGGGATCCGTCTCGGGTCGTTCGCGTGTCGCCTGGCGTGCCGGGTTTTTCGCTGTCGTGTTTTTCTTTTCTTCTCGCAGTCGCGCCCTAAAGCGGACCACGTAATCCGCTCGATACTCGTGAGAACGGGAGCGTGCGAGACGGAATAAACAGTATACGTATAGAAGGTACTCGCTTACGTTCGAGATCGTTAACTTGACGCGTATTCGTGCAAGATCGCCAAGATTTTAGAGTGCGCGGAAGTAACTTTTTCATCAAACGCTCCAATCAAACACGCACTTGCCAGTTTTGATATCGCGCTTTGATTGATACCACGTGGATTGAAATTGATGACAGCTGCCTCTGATTGCTTCTGGTAACAATACTGAAATTTACGTCTCAATGCAATTGCATTTGTTATTGTATCTCTTGTCAATCCGGCGTGAACTGTTAGAACGCATAAAAAAAACGCTTTGAGAAAATTACGTGAGAGTTAAAATGAGATTTTTTCAAGAGTTTTATATAAAATTACAGTAAAATGTGCGTTTTCACGTGCCTCGTATAATATGAATGTATATTTTCTGCAATTTTAATTATAATTTGCAAATATATTTAAAAAATTGTTTCAAGTACTTAAGACGCAAATATAGAAAACAGTTCGTGATCGATTGTGATAACTAATAACATTAAAAATATTTTTTTCATATATAAACAATATATTAATATTTCTATTTTAAATAGATTCGGATGCAATAACAAAAGCTGTTGTTTTGATTAATTCAATTATTTTCTCTTTGCGGTAAACATTGCGGTCGAGCGCAAAAATATATGTGAATGCGAACACGAAGATAAACGAAACGGCGATGTGCGTCGCGTGGACGTGCAATTTAATTCAATGACCAACTGCTGTGTATTAGGCTTGCCGCGTGTTATGCTACTCGAAACGATCGTCAAGCTAATCGGCAGGAAATAATTTGTTTGGTCGCACCCGGATTATACATAGGGGTGTGATTGGCCGTAGATGATCGATTGCTGTATATATTGAATTGCATATATTGCTGTTTGTGTGCGTGCGGAAATTAGAAGCCATCTAAGCGTTACCATTGTCGCGAAGCAATTGAACGTGATGATCCACATGAGAGAAACTTTTCAGTGTGTGTGTGTGTGTGTGTGTGTGTGTGATGAGCCTGATAAATTAATTCAATTTGCGGAGATAAAACGCTCGCAATTTAAAGCAAGTCGTAATTTTTGAAAATTTAAAACTTAACAGTTTATAGAAAAAAAAAACATAACATCTTGATACACAATTGCAATATTATTAAATATGTTTTTGTAATAACATTAGAGAATAAGCCGGTCATTGCTATTAATTGTACAAGATGCTTAAAACAAATGTTAACACACATACTTAGAGAATTTGTACATGTTGAAGTTTTGGAATTCTGGAGACCACTTGGAGAAGAATATATTGACGATAATGAACAAGTAGAGACTCTTTGAACATTTGTTGCTGTGACATATCTTATGTTCTGTTTTTCGAAAAAAGTTACTTGCATATAAATATTAATATATTTTTAAAGCACTTTATATTATATTAAATTAATATATGAGTATTGTAATTATGTGTAAGTAGATAAACATAGTTACATGTGTATTACGCGTAATGTGATAATGTTATGATTATATTATGTTTAATATGATAATGTTAGTTATTGTGTCGTAGAATCATCGAATTTCTCATTAAACAGATACGTGTAATTGAACGCACGTTTATGTCAGTAGTGAGTAACATCAAAATACAAATTTACAACATATGTTTCCAACAAGTGCCGCCGATTGATTATAGCGTGTGAAGGTTTTTGACCGATAAATCGACTTTCGCGCGTGTATATACTTAAAGAACACTTGCTATCGTGGACATTCCGTTTCTAATTTGCGTTCCGCTACCCGCTCTGACGCGTTCACTCTTACAAACGTTTGTGAAAAATCGATAGTTTGTCAAGTGACAGTGCTTTTTCATTTATCTTTGATGCGACAGTTTCATAAAATATGTGATATCTGTCATTTTGTGTTTAAAGTTTTGTTTCTTTTACTTTTTCTTTTTTATTTGAAGTTTAAAACCAAATAAATTTTAATATTCTAGAAGTTATCTCAAATCTTATAAATCACACAGATACATTTCGCCAGAATATTTAAATATTTTGTTTTACGACGTTTTAGTTCCGTATTTTTTCACTTTTCATTAAATTCGATCAAGATGATCATCAATCAATTAGCTATCGAGAGACGGATTATACGCAGATATTTGGAAATTTTGGCAATCAAGAGGTTTTACATGTCTCCGCATTATAAGAATTTATGCGTTTTGATTAGCATATTGTAGTGTCAGTAGCACATGCAACAAGTTATTGTGCGAGCTTCGCATAATTTTACCGATAACGAAAATCATCAAATGTCGATGGTACATTGATTAGTTTTATTTATATATTCCAAACGCAAATGAGAAGATATCGTTTTCAAAACTTCATCTCGTGAGCAGCTCATTTACAGACAGTGCCATAAAATTAGAAAGTGGTCTACTAATAATTAGTTGTTTTAAATTGATTCGTTTTCGTTGAGATAATTTTGAAATTTAAGAGATTGTTTGCGTTTAAACCGTAACTTGCATTAAATGTCAAACCTTCCTCTTTTCGAGGCAGTAGTAATTTCACTTCCACGTGCGTAATCCACTTTCACGAAACCGGTATTGTGGCGCGCGACACTCGATCCCGTCGCGCGGCGTCGAAGTTGCCGCGAATCACTCCGCGAAAATCGAAATTGTAAAACACAAGTCGGCCATGAATTTTTTGATACCTACTTACGGAAAGTCTCAGCTGTTTTATGGGATTTGATATCGGACTTCGTAGGGGCTCGAAGTAGTGGACGTGCCACGCGGAAGGAAGTGCGAAGCGGTCTCATGTGTTGCACGGTGCGCTGAACCAGAGACGAAAGAAGGCGGAAAAAAGGCAGTGAGGGAACCTACGGCGGAATTTCTTTAGCCAACTTTGCGAAACGGTGAGTCAAGTAGCGAGATAAAGTTTAATGGATCTTCAGGTTCGAACTTTTGATGTACGAAAGAACACATTCAAGTAGTACGTGAGCTTCATTGTAACTTTGAACAGTGCTAGCGTTAAAACGCTTCGCGCTCGATCATTTCTTATGTCTGTTTTGTGTCGCGCCTGCGAGGGAAACGTGTACGTGTTTTGTGACACTGTTTCACATTTTTTTTTTTATCTGTAGTAAAGACGAGCAAGATAAATGTTATTTAAACAAGCAACTCTTTAACTATTTCGAGAAGTAAATCTTTATCAGTAGTAACATGAAAAAGTGATATTTTTCGAAAGTAAAATTTGATTATAAGAACAGTTTTGCGTTTATATTGTTTCTTAATAATCTTACGAGAGATATAAAATTTAATTTTAAAAAAATGATGAAAACGCGTGATCGTACTGTTTGAATTTGCCTGTAATTTTAATAAAGTTCAATTGTCCGTTTAAAATTAGAATATCCGTTATTATCCGGACATTGCCGTCTCACTCGATCGAGCATCTCGATCGCTATTCAGGCAATCGAATTTGCTGGATACCGATACTACGACATATCGATCGGCCAACAAACGAATTTACCGAACATTTGCCTGCTAATTCACCTATGCATGCCACATAATCTGGTTACGTTGCTGGCGCCGCAGGAATGCGCGGGATACTCACCTGTGTGGCTAATAGCGCTGTAGTACTCTCGATTTTCGCATATCAGTAAATATCTCTTTGCACTGCAAAGAAAACAATAAGTAAAATAACAAAAACCGAAAAAACATGTTTGTCAGCAAACAGATACTCAATATAATCTTTGCTTTTGGTCTTGACAAGTGTGTTTTTATTTTATTAAATTGTATATCAAATTGTATATCAAAACGCGTGTGTTTTTATTTTATTAAATTGTATATCAAATGTGCTGGCTTCTATAGTTTTAACGTTTGAAACTTCCACGTCTATACGTGGTTGATTGATTTTTCCATTGTAGTCTGTGTTTCGATTGCAACACACCGCAATCGTACCACAGGCGTGCAATTCTATCACGCGCGATCTGAGGTTATTGCAGGAAATATGGTTGTCACTCCCGAGCCCTTTATATACAACCCCACTATAACCCTTTGACACGTAAACCCTATTCTGTGTGACCTTAGTTCTAACGGTCCGTGTAGTCTCAGTTTCAGTCCTTAGTTTACAATCGAAGCTGACTAGATCAATCATTTCCGGTTTGAGTAAATGTTTGCAATCCTCAAGCACAACCTTCCCTTAATTAAACCCTGTTCAATTGACTAATACCGCAATGTTGCTGCAACGCAACACTTTACCGTAACTCAATTTCAAAACAATTAGATTCTGTTTTGTTTCCGTATGTGATCAGATTCTTGAGAATTGATTCTTAAATGATTTTTTCAAAAATTGTGAAAATAGTCATCAAGAAACTATCGTGATACAAGTTTGATTTTATTTATATTGAAACTTATATGTGAAAATGAATACAAGTTTGTGTGTGATCACCTTGTACTCTCAAAATTTGAAATATTAAAATATTTGAGAATTAAATTATATTGAACATATTATTAATTAATTTAAAAAAAACACTGTCTAGTTGCAGCAACATGCATATTTGATATAATCGGTCTTGTGAGAATTTAAATTTTTCCACACGTGTTCCGCAACTGACTCGGTCGATTTGCCCGTTGATTTCACTAAACGTTTGTCTGCCAATTTGCTTAGGCATAACATGCGTGAATCTGCAGCAATCTCGTTAACGTTATTGGACACACGGTAACGCGCGAATGCGTCACAATTACAGAGAGAAGCAAATTGCCGGGTGCTGCTGTCCGGAAACGGACTTTGCAGTCTTGTCGTCTAGATGAACGCTTCATTCTTCCGCCCCGGAAGACTCTGTCTTTCATGCGACTGGAAATTAACCTGAATCTTCCTTGGAACTCTGGCTTTTGTCGTCTTACATCGTCGATAAAAATAATCTAAAATTTATAAAAAAAAAACCTTACAGACATAAAAATAAAATATTTGCAATATATTTAGTTAGAAAAATAATCTTTCTTCTTGTGTTTTTCTTTTTTGGCTCTTTTTTCAACTTTTAGCACACGAATTTACCGACAACATTTAACATAAATTACACGCGTCAAATTTCCAAATTGCAATTTCAACTCTCTCTAAATTGTTCAAAGAAGCTGCCATGAAAATTGAAGGTGGTTTCGAATTGTTCTCTGAATATTGATTTTAACGAGACTGACAAAACCAGTTTGTTCCATGGCGAATAACAAGAGCGCGATTCGAGCTGTCATACTTTGTTGAGATGGATTTTCGCGATTTGTAAAATATCGTTGCGGGAATAATTCGAGATATCGTTTTATCAATTAATATCGACGGACAATCACGTCACTATGGCTTCGCAGACACTCCGCTGAATATCGGGCTGTACAGCTCGCTGGTGGTATAATTGCCGTTGCGGTATCGCTCGTCAGTAACCCGTCATTACTTCGGCTTCTGCGTTGTTTGCGGCTAGCTTTGGTCATGCCATTTCCTCGATATCTATTTTCCTCTCTCTCTCTCTCTTTCTCTTTCTCTTTCGACCTCGCGGGGATTACCCCGGGCGCCGACGGTTATTGTCTTTCCGCGAAACAGCCGCAGGATATCGTCGCAAATAAAGCACTAGACGATCGGCTATGAGCGTCTTAAATAAGCTTTTTATAGAAAGCGATATCCCCGTTAATGTACCTCCTCGTTCCGCGCATTTCCCGCATAATTGCCAGTCTGCCTATATAGACATCGCGTTTAAACTCGTGAAGTAATTAGGGTTTTTGCGAAAATGAAGGCTAATGTGACAAATGTTAACATTACAGTTACGAGCGAATAATTCTCCCTTTTGTAAGTTTAAATACATTTATAAAATTATAGGATAATCTAGTTAGCACTCTACCAATGATTGGCACTTATTGATTTTTTTCCAATTTAATTTTCCTTTGTCTATATTTAATATCTTTGTCTATGGTTATTTTTTTATATTTGACGTTGAAGTAAAATTAATTTGGAATTTTTATAAAAACATATCAGAGTTTTTTAGTTGCCTCTTAGAAATGAAAAAAACTTGACAAGTTTTTAAAATGCCAATTAATTGGTTTATTCTACTTGGTTTATAAAAAGTGCGTATCTTCACGTGTTCATTCCTCTTTCTCTCTCTCTCTCTCTCTCTCAATTATTCCAAAGACGGTAAGATCTTTAATCAATCTCGAAATTACAGTACATGTGGCGAAGATTCCTTGCGCACCCTGAAAGCGAGCAACAATTCCTATGTATGTCCTGGCACCCTGACGTGCATGTTTTGTTTGTTGAGGTGCACGTTCTCTTTATCGTCGGAAGTATCGTCGTCGGTCGGAAGTTTCGACACGCGCCGCGAATTTCGCGCTCGCATCGGGAGCGAGGGAAGGAGAAGAGAAACGGAACTGTGCCACCGCGGCGGAGGAAGCGGCATCGTGGCTGTTTGTCGAGCGTGTAACGAGTACCGTGGTAATTGCTCCACAATCGAGGCGGTAACCGGCGCAATATCTGCATGCGTTGCGCCCCGCGGACGAGACTTAATTGCGCCTGCGTCAGGAACACGTATCTCCTGATGCTTTCTAATGCGAGGGGGAAAGACGACGACGCAAGACACAGCGAGCGCACGCTGCTCTTTTGTTACCGCGATCATTGCGACGAAATTGCCGCGTTTCCCGACGTTAAGCCATCCGCGTTATCTCGCAACGTTTATCACCGTCCGTGAGCGGCGGCTTTCATAAACAAAGCGAACTTTGAATTAACACAGATTGCACGGGAAAGATAAGTCCCAAACATTTGACGATATCTTCATTGAGAAAGAGGAATTACTCACAAACAAGATCTTTCCGTATATCTAAAGCGTTCTATTAAATTTCTTGTGATTCTGTACGATGTCAATAAGGTTCACGTTATTTTCGCTTTATAATAATAACGATATTGCGCACAAGCAAAACTAAAATAGAAATAACTGTTCTCTTATTGATCTCCAATATTGGAAAATGCACACTACGTGTGTTTGAACAAGAATGACGATTTTTTTTTTTTTTTTTTTTTTTTTTTTTTTTTTTTTGTTCTATCTCACGTGCAACTCTCGCACGCAGCGCGAAAATTTGGCGATTGCCGCAAACCGCCGATAACCACGCGTACACAAATATTTCGCCCCGATATTATTTCACGCGACGTCGATGCCCTCGATAGTGTAGAGGGTGTGTGTAAGTATAACTTCGTTACACGTTATTACAAAACAATTACGTAAGGTCAACGTGTGGCAATGAGCGCAGTCGGGCAGTAAGATAATAGTGTCGCCATTGGAACGAGAAAAGGGCGTTTTTTTTTCTGCTCCCCGCGCACTGTAACGAGAATAGTTCGGATCGATGTCGCCTCTATGAGGTTAAAAAAAAAAAAAAAAAAAACATGCACGCAAACAGAAAATATTTACATACCATCTATGTATATAAGTTTGTAATCTATTTGAGTAAACACGATTATTTCTATAAAAAATTTATAATATTTAAGTAATATTTAAATAATATTATAACATATTTTTATTACTTTTTTATATACTCTGCATATGTGTAAAGAAAACTAATACATAGTATTGTGTTTTTGTGAGAAAAAGTTTCAAGTGAAATAATCTTTGATCATTTTTCTCTTTGGTCAATAATAAGCTATTAAGCTATTAATCTCATTATGCGTTCGAATTAACGGTTTTATCTTGAATTAAGTTCTGAAGAAAAATATTTAATTTTGAGTTTAATTTGCATTTATGTCGAGACTGCAACATATTCCGTGTTCGTATTCAAAGCGTTTGAACAGTTGCACAAATATTTTTCACGGAAAATGTTTGCTATTGTTTGCACTTTGTGTAGCGATAAAATTTTTGCGGTAACAAATACACGTACAAATGGAAACAAAGAAAAC